GCATAAATGACGCGGGTGAAAAATAAATGTCAGTAAAGGACATTAAGGCACATAAAACGAACTTTGGTGAAATCTAAAGGGTAAGGAATATCAATCCCTTCAATTGTTTTTGCTCCTTCCTAGGACGTTGATCGTTGTGAGCGCCTGAAACAAGAGAAGGCAACTTGCTGGAACGTCAAGCTCAGCAAGAAATCACTAGAGAAGCGTGGAAGGCCACTTTGATGAAGGTACGGTTTCATATTAGTATGTGCCCGTAGATTATAAAGAAACTATTTGTATCTTTTCAGGAAGTAATGGAATGGAGAGAGCCTGTGGAAGATCTTATCCGCAAAATCAATGTGAATTATTCTAAATTTTTCGCGACATTAGGATGTGCTGGAGAAGTGTATCTCGAAATCCCAGAAGATCCGGTAGGTGTAATACCGAATTGCTGTGGTAGATTAGCATCAGTTTTCGATATTATTTCTTTTTGTTCAGCTTAATATTGATGGCTATGGAATAATGATAATGGTCAGTTTTCGAAATGGTGAGCGACTGCGGCGGTTAGATCACCAGGTATGTCGATTCAAATGAACACGACTGGATTTTGCTGGCATCGTACCGACCAGTAGGTGTATGTTGTCAAATGAATTGAGTTAAGGTTCAATCCGGTGGAGAACGTAGTGTGTCTACTATGTTGTACTTGCTCGCTCTTCAAGAGCTTTGCCCTGTACCATTTCGCTGCGTGGACGAAATCAATCAAGGTGAGTATATGCAACTGTTGTTGTTGTGAAACCTACCGCTGGCTGGTAAGGAAGAAGCATCGCCGAATTTTCATTTCTTTTGATGCAGTCGGCGGGTTTCCTGTTCCCTAGTCTTACAATATAGGAAGTGTTAGCCTTTTTATTAGTTTTAGCTTTGATTTCATTGCTGCCCTGCCCCGTTCTCGTGAGCCAGACACTTTCTTGGATATATTGCATGCGACACTTGCAGTTAATCCGTCCACTTTGCAGCCTGACCTCATCCGGAATTGGACCCTTTGATAAAAAAAAGCTTCACAGTCGAACGATTCATGTAGCGTTTGAAGTCGCGCAGTGATGTTGCCTTTTATGAATGGTGTAACTAATTCTATGATTGATTTGTGATTTCAGGAATGGATCCAGTAAACGAGCGGAAGATCTTTGATATAATGGTGGACACTCTCAGTGGAGAAGGGAATCTTGCCAAAACGCAGTATTTCTTGTGAGTTCGACTTCATAGGATGTCTTTACGACCACACGGCCGTATTGTTCGAACTGAGTGATTCTGAATGATCCTCTGAATAATTAGTGCCGATCATAGTTAAACCTTCAGGCTAACACCGAAACTGCTTCATGGTTTGAAATTCAATCGAAAAGTGACTGTTCAAATTGTACATAATGGAGCAACACTCAGCGAAAATTGTCATGTGAGCTCATTACTGATAATTGCATTGTCATCTGTTAGTGTTTAGAAACATCTAAACCCTTTTATCGGTACTTATTCCGTTAATTCCTTCAGGAGTGGGATGTGCACAATTTTCTGTCAATCATGAAATCACGTGCTGGCTGATAGGATGGCGCGGTGCAAATCAAATACCGGTAGCATTTTCCAGGTCATTTATGTTGTGAACAATGGTCTCATCACTATTTATTCAGTGCCTGATACATATTTTGGCAATGAAAGTTTATTGAAAGCTCTTCTGTAAATGCAAATAGTTTCCTGGCTTAGAAATACACTGTTCACGTGAACATCCTATCTTATCAGAACATATGTTATGTACAAAGTCAAAGAAATGAGAAAGAATTCTGGAGAACCCGATGAATTGCACAGTTCAGTATTGCATAGACACAATGATGGGCCTTGATTTGTACATGGAGTACTTTGGCTGAGGTAGTAATCGGGACGTAGTAGAAGGCTTTGGCATCCTCGCATCACGAAAGCAAATTCTGCAAAAAGTGATAAAAATTCGTAAGTTCAAATTTATTGATAAATGAAACACCAGGGCT